TCCTCCTTTGATTCGGGTGGCCTAAATGGTTTTCTTAAAAAAAAGAATGGTTCAAAATCCCTGTTGTGAGCAGTACCTCGTCGCAATGAATTGCATGGTTCAGGACAACCAAGGCAATTCACCATTCGGAATCGGGGATACCCTAACTCTGAGCCCAATTCCGCACGGGCTAGCGGATTTCTAGACCATTGGTTCCAATAAGTATTCCTGTCAAAAATCTTTGTACACCTATACTTTGTTGGTGACTCTTTTCTTGAAGTACGATTTATGGCTTGGCAGAGGGTGCTCAGTAGCACTTAAATTGCCTGTGCTTTCTTTTGTTTTTCTTTCCATTGTTGCATGTATGAAGGGATGTGTGCTTTCAATAATTTTCTCTGCTTTCCATTACGTAAAACTTGATCAGCATTTGATTAAACATTAAAAAGCACATCTATAGTGCGCTTCCTAGACCCTTCCCCAGACTAACAATAGGTCATGCCCAGTTCACTACATTAAGTCCCTAACACAAATGAAAACCACATCAATCTTTCGTGGGTACGTAACTCGTAGACTCAGCAGTGTTACTTGCCTCAGCTAAGGGCCGAGTACCTCGAGTGATAATGATTTCCAAAATATTGTTACATGGCTACATACTTCAATGATCGACTGATTGGCTTCATATCAGTGAACCGGGGGACTGGTGAGGCTCGTTGTGGAGTCGAGGTTATGTCCATGCCTCATTGGGGCCAAGGCCTAGCCATATGTGCAGTGAAGATGTTGATCGCCAAAATCTCTGAGGAAATTTCCTAGCCCAGAGAGATTGGATGCCCTAGTTGATGTTGAAATGATAGTCTCAAAGGGTTCTAGACAGGGGTTTGTCAAGATGGATTGTTGAGGAAGTAGTTGATCTTTAGAGGAGAGACCAAGGATGTGTTATATAGCTTAATTTTGATTAGTGATCTATTTTTTTTATCTATAATAAAAAGAAAAAAAATTATATCAACTGATACAATTTGTCAGAGGATTATATCAGTCAAAGCACTAAAAAACATATGGGAGGTTTGTTGAGAAAAATAAAATATAAGATTTTATTTTTCTACTAAGAATTGATGTTTTTTAAGGGGCGGCTTATAATTTGGAGTAAGTTTGCATGTAACCGGTAGACCACGAGGCGACTCATGAGATACAAAAACAAGTTGGCATTTGCCTACTGAAAAGTCTGCAATGAGACTCTAGAGTGGTGTTCTTCAGTTGTTGAAATCACACGCCTACTGCACTCACCATATTTAGACCCTTGCACAATTCAAAACACAATTATCTTTGATCCTCCCTCTTATCTTTCATCTCCTCCATATTTGCCCAAACCCAAGCAGCAGAATGGAGGACCAAATGGCCAAAATGACCTTACGTCCCTTCGAACTCTCCGACATTGATGATTTCATGGTTTGGGCAACAGATGATCTCGTGACTCGGTTCTGCTTATTTGAAACCTGCACGTCTCTAGAAGCTGGATTTGGATTCCTCAAAGAGTAAGCCATCCCTCAGCCATGGCTTAGAGCTATCTGTCTGAATGATTGAGCTATATGGTCCATATCTGTGAACTCCGGGGTCTGGTGTGGCCCTTGGTAGAGGACACCTTAGCTACATGCTGGCTTCTACATATTGGGGTCGAGGCCTAGCCATGACTGCAGTGAAGGCTGCTGTCTCGAGAGTGTTCAAGGATATTCCTGAGCTAGAAAGGTTGGAAGCCTTTGTCGATGCCGAGAATGTTGGGTCTCAAAGGGTCTTAGAGAAAGTTGGATGGGTTCATGAGGAAGTACTTGAAAGTGAAGGGGAGGACTTGGGATTGTGTGCTCTATAGCTTCCTTTCAACTGATACCATCAAATAGTGGTTCGCTTTTTTATTTATGTTGGAAATTTCATTGAAATTAAATTTGGAGTATAGATTGTTTGTGGGAGACTTATGAAGGTTTTGTTTTCAAGGGTATTTGAGTGTATTTCTTGTGAATATTTTCCAAGTTATGTACTCTGGGAGTCTGAACTGTAAACAACTTTCCCCATAAGGGTCACTAATAATGTTCTTTTTATATGGCAACTCTTTGATAGCCAAAAGATTTCATGCTCCAGTGAAAGCGTGTTGTTTATTTTCTCCTCAGGTAAAACCCAGTCTAGGAGTAATTGCAGGATTTCAAATTTTGAGGATGTAACTTCTTTAATCCATAGGTTAGTCTCAATTTTCAATCCAATATCTATGCACTTGAAAGATAATAATATCTCAAGATTCACTAGAGATGCTCCAATTTTCCGAGGGCGAGATCTAAGTGTTAGACAAGTTAAAAATTTTAATTTTATCTTTTGAAAATAATCATCTTAGATGGTTGGAAAGGTGAGGAGTTTGGAGTTGTGGGACCATGAGTTTGAAATTGCGGGATTCGGTTTTGTGAAATTCGCATTAATGTGGCAACGATCTAAATAGGTCTTCAAGGTTATCAACTGATATATTGGAAATGATATATTGGAAAAGTATACAAAAAGACTATTTGTTTTTTGTACAAGGAGGTCATAATCATTGTCACTGATGTGAGTTGGCTAAGCAATTGGAAATGATATATTGGAAAAGTATACAAAAAGACTATTTGTTTTTTGTACAAGGAGGTCATAATCATTGTCACTGATGTGAGTTGGCTAAGCAATTCCCAGTGGGTTGACTTATACGGTGAGTGAAAAAGATGAAAGAAAGAAAAATTGCCTGCTACTCAGGTGATGTCAGGGAACCGCTTGAATCCCTGAAGTGAACAGCCGGGTTCCAGACAACCCTGGTGATCCCCAGTTAAGGCATGGAAACCGGGGACAGCTGACTCCAACAATTTCGTCTGCTCGTTAATTTTTAAACCACTGGTACATCCATCTAATGATGTGCTTTTTCTTGAACTAAGTAGGATTTATGGCTTTCTAAGGGGGCGCTTGGTATCAATCATATTCCTTGCGCTTTCTTTTGGATTTTCTATTGATGTATGACTGTGTGCATGACTGTACTCCTGGGTTTTTTTCCATTTCACTTTTGACTAATTCAAAAGCTTTCCTTAATGGAATCTCGATCAACATTTGACTAGACATTCGAAAACACATCAGTGTTACAATTTATTATTTGCTCAATTCACTATATCAAGACACCCGAACTCAAAGGAAAACCAGATGAACATCTCATTCCCATCTTCTTCCCCTTCAATCCTCACGCAAAAACCACAATACAACCATGGAGGACCAAATGTCAAAAATGACCCTGCATGGCTTCGAGATCTCGGACATCGATGATATCATGGTTTGGGAGACAGGCGATCTTGTCCTTCAATTCACTGGCCGGGAAGCACCTACATCTCGAGAAATCGAATTTGCGATCCTGAGAGACCACATCATCCCTCACCCATGGTACATGGCTATATGCCTCAACAGTCGAGTCATAGGCTCCATATCGGTGATGCAGGGGTCCGGTGAGGCTCGTTGTAGAGGTGAGCTTGGCTATGTCCTTGCATCTCACTATTGGGGCCAAGGCCTAGCCACATGTGCTGTGAAGATGGTGATCTCCAATATCTTTGAGGAAATTCCTGAGCTAGAAAGATTGGAAGCCTTAGTTGATGTTCAAAATGTTAGGTCTCAAAGGGTTTTAGAAAGAGTTGGGTTTGTCAAAGATGGTTTGTTGAGGAAATATTTGGTCTTTAGAGGCCAGAGCAAGGATATGTTGATGTATAGCTTCCTTTCAAGTGATGTACTTAATTTGTGGTCTACTTTTGATTTGTAAAAGAATACTTGTGAAAGTTAAAAATGGGTGCAAAATATTAAATAGTTGAAAGGTTAGATGAATTTTGATAAATTTCCCTTGGAAATTTGAAAGCAATATTAATGAAAATATTTTTTTTGGTTCTATCTACAGGTCAACTAGTCATCAAACCTGTTGAACTGATGAAAACCAGTCATAACAACATAATACATAAAATTTTTTACATGAATTATTTTAAAAGTCCTTTGTTTTTTCTTTTAGGATCCCTTTTTTTGTTAGACCAAACTGGTTTTGGAGACAATTGTTGGCCGGACTAATCCTATACCAATAATATTGTCATGAAGGGAGTGGCTTAATCTGCTCCCTGATATCATTAACAATTTTTTACCACTGCATCTCATGTAGTTTAGTGGGTTAAAAGATTTTTCAATGCATATGTGTTTAATTCTTTACTATTGTATAGGATCATGTTATGGAGATTAAACTCAATCTTTTCAAGATACTCAGTCTTTAATTAAAGGACAGGGTTTCTATGAATAGGCCAACTCACATGCACCTATGCGTCCCCATTAAGTGGATGCAATACTAACCCCTACAAGATTTTCAGGTCTTTTAAATACTTATACTTTTTAATTAAAAATATAAAATAAAAAATAAAATTAATCGTCTACATTAGGTGGACGCAATACTAACCCTTCAAAATTTTACCCTCAATATGAAGGCTAGCGTAGACTTTGACTAATTGTTGTATATTACAGTGTGGATGCCTTGCTCTTTCCTTGAAATAACATGCCTAATGGGCTATATTAGGAGCCCAACACAAATCAAAACTTAAGCATCTTTCATTCTCCATCTAATCTTTCATTACCACCATATCAGCAGCCCAAATTCAAGTAGAAGAATGGAGGACCGAACATCTGAACTGACCCTACGTCCCTTCAGACTCTCCGACATCGACAATTTCATGGTGTGGGCGACAGATGACCTTGTCAGTCGGTTCTGTCGATTCAAGACCTACACATCTCGAGAAGCTGGCATTGCGTACCTCAAAGAACAAGCCATTCCTCATCCATGGCTCAGAGCTATCTGTTTAGATGATCGAGCCATAGGGTCCATATCTGTGACTCAAGGGTCAGGAGGGGCCCTCTGTAGAGGAGAGCTTGGCTATGTGTTAGCATCAAAGTATTGGGGTCAAGGCCTAACACCTCATGCAGTAAAGATGGTTCTCTCTAGTGTGTTTAAGGATATTTCTAAGCTAGAGAGGGTGGAGGCCTTGGTTGATGCTGAGAATGTGAGGTCTCAAAGGGTTTTAGAGAAAGTTGGGTTTGTTAGAGATGGGTTCCTAAGGAAATATGAGAGAGTGAAAGGGAGGACCATCAATTGCATGCTATATAGCTTCCTTTCAACTGACACCATTAAATAGTGGTTTGATTTGTATTAAAAATTGGACTGAAGTTAAATTTGGAGTATAGAGTGTTTGTGGGGGACTAATGGAGTATAGAGTGTTTGTGGGGGACTAATGGAGGTTTTGTTTTCAAGTGTTATGCCCTGGATGTCTGGATTGTATTATAACTTAAAAGGAGTCAGAAATTTTACTGTCCTTTTTTTCTTTTTCTGTTTTGTTATGTATCGGCGGTGGGAATGGAGGGTGGGATGTTATGTTGGCACATCAGCCCCCGTAACTACCGATTCCCCAACCCCATTCTATTGTTGGATCGTATCTCCAAATATATCTTGAGTGACATCAGCCGTGTATTTGTTCAAGTGTGGTGGTGGTGGTGGGTTGAGGATCTCTCTCTATTTCTTAGCTAAATGTCTCTGAAATTTATCTCATAGTGTGGCATCTTATGGTAACATTTATGGTTTGATAACTTTGAATTGAGATGGTTCTTTGAGATGCATATGCGAGATGAAATTATTTGAGAATTTTGTTCCAACTGTGGTGTATATGCCTATCTTAGATTGCATTAATATGCAAGTGCTTTGTAGAATTTGAATGTCCAAATATAGCGCCTTTAAAGATCAAATGTTTGGTTATGATGGTGAGAAGCTTTATCAGCTTTTGTTCATAGAGTGCCTTTGATGATCACAACTAGCTAAGCTAAAATTTAGGTCCTCATTCACATATAGGGTGTCCAATTCCCTTGTACATTATGGGTCATGTTTATTTTGTCTGAAACTTTGATTGTGTAACATGAATGTTTTAAAACTCGGATTAGAGGGGCAGATCATTTACCCATAGATCTGTGTTGGATTGTTGGATATGTGATTTGAATTGGGTCTAGATTGTTCCGAATAGGTGATCTACAAAAATATTTTTTTAAAAATGAAATAAAATAAAAATTAAAATCGTATTTTATGGGATAGGCTTTAGAGGAGACATAAGAAAACATTAGACTTAAAGTTTTTTTTTTTTTACATCCATGTATCTCAAGGTCGAGATGATCAGATTTAACGTTTTTTCAACTTCGAAACAACTTCTTCTAGTGAATTTTTGATTTGCGCTTTAATTTGATTGTTTAGGGCCACAATTTAATATAATTGTTTTCCAAAAATAATATAGATTATTATATTTAGGGTGTGGTTTCTATAAGGTTGCAACCTTAAATAATCCAATTAAGGCGCACCTTCGAATTCTATCATAACATGCAATTTTGGTGTAAAAACTTATTAGGATTATCTGAAAAATCTATTTTTACATCTAATTATAAAATTTTAAACTCAAAAAATAGTTAAAATCAAGTTGATCTATAAAATTATGAAAATCTTGAAAATGGACAATGTAGATAATATGTTGTAAGATGCACTATTTGTGGAACTCAAAATCTTTTTTATTTATAATATTCGTACTGAATGTCAAGATTATCAGTTAAAATGATCAATTAAAAGGTTTTTCAACATCAAAACAACATTTTTGATGGATTTTTGAGGTGCATATGTAATTCTACATTTTAATGTTGCAACCTTATATAAAATTTTTCCTTTTATATATATATGGATGATCCGATATAGCTCTTAAACGGTTAAAGAACTCAAAATTTGAATTTTATAAATAAAATAAGGAAAAGTGTTTTGTGGGTCAAGGGAAACAATACTACATTTGCATCCATGTTAAAGATGGATTTAAATTGGTGGTTCCTCAAAAAAAATAAAATAAAAATCAAAGGCAAATCAAAATAAATAAATAAATCAATAGGGCATTTCAGTCTTATTTGGCTGGAGCAATTTTGCAGCATATGCTCCCGCGGGAGCACGACATAGTTGGGATCGAGTTTTAGATTTTTCACACGGCGGGGGAAAGATCTGGACCGTACTCATTTCATGCGGGTGAATATAAAAAATATGAATTACCACGTGACCCATTCTCTGGTGCGCGCTGGAGCATATTGTGTGTATGCTCCCTCGCTAGAGAATCCCATTCGGCAAGTTTTGTTTGGGCTAAAATTTTGGGAACGATATAAGAATGAATATATAATTATTTAAAAAAATTTAATTTTGCGTTTTATAGCACTCAGTCATTAGTTATTTTAGTACATAAAATATTTTAAGTTTTTTAATTGAAATATTCTCTGGATTGACCTAAAAGGCAATTTTTTAGAGGGAGTAAATCCATTGTACACTCGAGCGGGAATTCGACTCGGAAATCGCATGTCCCATCTGGGAACAAACCTGTCTCTGCATTCTCATTTTTGTACTTCCTCTCTCTAACAACGTTATCTTTCTCTCTCTAAACGTGGAAATGGAGGAAACCCTTGGGGAAGAAGTTGGGAACTATGGTGGTACAGAGATAGCCCCCGCTCTTATAGCAGTGCATCCAAACGAAGAGTCCATTGTAGTAGCAGTCGGTCCTGAGCTCCGAGTTTATGATTTTAAGTGAGTCTCTCTTTCTCTCTCTAGATTTTCGCTTACTTCCTCTGATTTACAGTAAGTTTCTCTCTCTAGATGTCTATCTTTTTACTTCTTGTGGTTTCCAGTAAGTATCTATCTGAGCATCCAATCCATGATTACCGATTGTTTTCCTTCTAGATCACCTTGTGCTCTATCAATATACTATTTCAATTTAAGTTTCATCAGTTTTTGAAAATTTCATGAACAAATTTGTGCTCGATTCTTAGAGAGTATCGCATTAGCAATTTTCTAGTACTTAGTCCTGGATTTTTTTTCTTTTTTGGACTTGAACCCGCTTATTCTGTACTAATTTGGTGTGATCTTATTAGATTAGTTAATCTGGATATGAGTCAAAGGGTTATCTGCTATAGGATCGATAAGATGGGTTTTGGCAATGTAAATATCTCAAACTTCTCTTTATTAGGGTTATTAGAATGCTGGCTTGTGTTTCTGAGTTTTTCATAAAACAAATCGTAATTTAGCATTTGTGATTCAGGGTGTAGGGGATTTTTCTTCTATTAGTTAACGGTGTGTAGGATTTCTGGGTTCTGGGGAAATAAACATTTCAAAGTTTGGTGAACCTGGGTCTTTATGCAATGGAATAAAAAGTTATCAGTGCAATTCAAAACCATGGTTATACTGCCATCCATTTTTGTTCCAGGACGAATTCTGACTAATTCTATTGCAGGAGTTTGTGGAAATGGTTATTGATCTGTATTGTAGTTCGAGTTCTTATGGCCATTGATATAGTGGAATGGTGGAACAGGATTTGTGTAGCTGACCCCAAATAGTTGGGATAAGGCTTAGGTGATGATGATGATGTTTTTAGTTTGAGTTTTGATAACCATTTTATATAGTTATTTCTAGAGTTATGGTTTTAGTTCGAATTTTTATAAGCATTTTAAGTTGTCTTTCTAGAATTATGTTTTTCTATCTACTATCCAAAACTCCCTACACGTGGGATTGATAGAATGGAAACAAAGAAAGGACCTAATGGATGGTTGGAGTGTGATGTTTGCTGGGTTTCCAAGGTTTCCAGGATCAGTTTGAAGATGTCATATTAATAGGGTTCAAGCATAACTTCATACTTATTATCGATCTATTTCACTGGAACGGGAACTTGTAGAAGATGGGCCTATACATTATGTGGATTTAAGTTCCAGTCTTCTCTGAGCATTGACCACTTAGGTGGTTGTGTACTCACTACTCATTCCTTCCTACTCAAATCAAATTTTTCTCAAGTGAACTTTTGTTGAGAAGATGTGCATTGTTTCATTTGAGAAGTAAATTTTGCGCAGCATTGACTGGTCATCTTTTTTTTTTTTTTTGATAATCATACATTCATGCAATTTCGGTTTCTAGAATTTCAATTTGAGCAAGGAATATGGTTTTACAACATAATCCTTATTGGGATGTGGATCAGGTAGCTCAGTCAAAGCTTTGCACTCAAAATTTTACTAGAATTATGCTTTCTTTTTTTACGGGGTTCTTTTGGACGATCCTAGCAAAGTAGACAAATATCCGTGCTTCTCTCTCTAGGAGGAGATATGTTTATTTATGCTCTTGCTTCTCCCAAAAGGAATTTGTATTGGTTACTCTGTATTATGCAGTTAATCTGGAAAGGTTGGTTGTTTCCTGTGGATGTCTTTTATGCGTGTTTGATAATCAGGAGAAACACCTAAATCCCAATTGGCATGCCATCAAACATATACAACACTTTTAAGGTTTTCTATGTCTCTAAAGGAATTAAAATTATGACTGCTTGCCACATGCTTTCATCATCCTATTGGCAGATTATACCAGTAATCTACGTCATTGTTCATTTCGTTTTATTGTATTCATATTATATAGATATTAGCAGGAATAATAGAATATCATCATTTGTGAAATTGTGTATATCTATCATCATTTATTCAAATGAAGCAATGGATTCGGTGGCACCGATAGGTGGGCTGGCTATGTGCAGCGCAGACCCAATACGGCACCTTTTAGTATATACCACAATGCTGTGTCATGGTTTTCTAGATGTTTGTGCATTCTGATTCACAAATAAAATTTTCAAAATGTCATTCATCTCAGACTTTTGGAAGTCTTTTTCCCCCCCCCCCCTTACTTTTTGGTTTGTGACTGTCGTAGGTTAGATCGATTCAGCTGATACAATGGCTTCTTGATGATGCATTGGACTACTTGAGTTTTAAAAATCCTGCTTTCTTGCTTGTCTATGGGAATTTCATCACTTTGGATCATTTGTTAGTATGGGGTTTTTGTGTTCATTTGTCATATATATTTGCTATTTGCATCACTCAATTTTTTCTCCATCAAAATTGTATGTTACTATGAATTCAACAGGAAGATAAATTCTCATTTTAATTATCTGCAGCGGAGTTTGATGTAGTCACCTCTTATGCTTTAATTGGTGTTACTATTTTCTTTTCTTATTGAAATCACTGTATTTCTTTTGTTATTTTTTTTCCCACAGAGGAGATTGTCCAATTACTTTGCAGGATGCCACTGATAGCCCTTCTCATATAGATGCTCTTAGAGCAATTTGCTTCGGTGCAAAAGGGAGGTTTTTTGTCTCTGCAGGTGATGACAAACGGGTCAAGGTTTGGAGCACAAATTCTTGGCATTGTATGACAACTGTGTAAGTTCTATTAACTCTTCCAAGTCAATATAATATTATTAGAATGTTTGTTTGTATTGTTCACCTTTGTGTAAGTGTGAATGCTGTGTATTCTTCATTTTCTTTAATGTTCTGGCCTCTTAACAATAAATCAAGAATATTCGCTTTTTCTGGCCATTGAAATTTTTTTCGTCCTTGGGCAATATGCTTTTCAGTAACAAGAATATCCCCTCCTGAAAAGTTTGTTTTTTCGTGTGCATGTCTTTCTTTGTCCCGCTTCTTTCTTTATCATTAGCTTAATCCTTGCTTGTATCTCTTTGTACAGGTATGCTGAAAAGAGAGTAAGCGCTGCTGCTTTCAGCCATGATGGGAGGTTTCTTACTTTTGCAGACAAGTTTGGAGTTGTGTGGATTGCCTCTATAGAAATTACTGAGGAAGGTCATGTTTCACATACAAAGACTGCCACCCACTTCTTGGTCACTACTGTAGCATCATCACGGGCCTGGTTAGACTTCCAATCTCACTTGTTTATGTCATTTACTTATTTGTCTCATTTACTCCTTGTCCTTGGAAACTAAGTTTGGATCAATGATTCAATGCTATGCCCACTTATTGTACTGTTATTTATTAGTGGTGGTCTAAAATAGAGTATGAGATGCCTTTCTATGTATCATGCCTTTTTTTTTTTTATATGTTCGTAAAATGCTGGACATGGATATGGAATCGGTTATGAAGTATCAATGCATCATACGTTTCTGCTAAATGAACCGCCTCTTTTGAAAAAATGTTCGATACAAGGTTTCCTGCTAGCTCTGAATATTTGATCAAATGGTTGATGGGATAATGGGTTGGTTGTGCTTACTTTATACTCACAAGCTTTATCATCCTAATAGTTCTTAATGCTGAATCTTTTGTTTGCCAATGTAGTGATCTCATCTCTTTTCCTCTTTACACAGGAATTCTCTCCCGATGGAAAGTTAATTGCCAGCGCGGATCGTGATTTTAAAATTCGTGTGCGCATTCTTTTTTTAGCTGTTTAGTGACTTGTGTTTCTTTTTCTTTATTTTGTCCTTTTTTTTGGTTAGTTAGAACCAGTGCTCAAAAGAACGAATCTAGCCGACTAGTCGGTCCCGGCCTGATCCGCCTAGTCGGACCGATTACGACTAAATTGCCATTAGTGCCCCGATTTTTACTGAAAAATGTAATTTGGGTAAATAATCCCAAAACATCCAAAAAAATTGTAAAAAATGTTTAAATTTTACATGTATTGTTTTTTTACATTGTCACATAAAATAAGCAAAACAAAAAAATATCATAGGAATAATTGTGTTTTGGAGAAAATTTCTAGTATACGCCTAATGATGGTTACTTAGCCATATCAATGTACAAGTCGGGCTTGGGCTTGATTAGTTAGCTGTTGCCATTTAGCAGTGCTACATCTCAAGTTTGATACCTACTGCTGAACTGCCCAAGGAAAAAAAAAATGGGTTGACCTATTTATTCGGCCAAAAAAAAAGGTAGGACATCTTCAAAGCAATGGTCATACTTTGGTCGCATACTAGTAGATATTGAATCCTGAATGAAGATACCAACAATTGAATTGATAAAATAAATCTAATAAAATCATTGACACAAGCTATTTGTATGCAAGACTGTCTGTCTTTGATATAAGAATATTGTCATCATCCCTAGCCGTTAGACGAGAAATTGGTAGGCTAAGGGCATGCCGCAAAATTAACGAAACTTTTTCTTTGACTTTGAGGGTAGTTAAAGGTATGCCTCCTAGTCAACCCATTTTGTATCTAATGGCTAGGGATGATTGTGACCATACTGTACAAAAAGTATACGTTTTTATTGCATACTTAAATAAGGAATTTTTTTTTATAAGGTTGAGGCCCTAAACAATCAAATTAAAGCTCATCTCAATCACTAGAAAAGGTCGTTTCGATGCTCAAAAATCCTCAAATCGATCATCTCGACCTCAAGATATATAAACATGAGAAAAACTTGATTTCTTGTCTCGGAAATAGTGCATCATGTAATGCGTTTTCTAGTTTGTTAATTTTCAAGATTTTCAAGTGTTCATAGATCTGCTCGATCTAAATTATTTTTCAAGCTTTAAATTTTATAATTAGATATAAAAATAAAATTTCAGGCCATCTAAAAGATTTCTAGTACTGAAACATCTTTCGACACTATTTGAAGGTGCGCCTTACTTTGATTGTTTAGGGCCTCAGCCTTATACAAACCACACCCCTTAAAACCAATAAAGGAAAAAGTTCATTTAAGGGCGAGGCCCTTAACAATAAAAATAAGGCGCATCTCAAAAATCCAATAGAAAAGGTTATTTCGATGCCCAAAAATCCTCAAATCAAATCATCTTGACCTCAAGACGTATAGACATGAGAAAAAATGGATTCCAAGTCTTGAAAATAGTCCATCTTGTAATGTGTTTTTTAGATCTTCAATTTTCAAGATTTTTCAAGTGTTCATAGATTTTTCTCTGTAACAATGCACAAATCAGGCGATCTTTATAACAAATCACTGATTAGTGCACAAATCGGCAGATTTGTGCCGATTAGTACTAAGTAGTACAGTAAATTGGCCGATTAGTGCACTATATGAAAATTTCAGAATGCATAACCTTTGGAACTCAGGCCAACTCAGGATCGGCCAGTAACCGATCCCGATCTAGTCGGCCGCTTATTGAACCATCAGCTGATCTTTTGATCACTGGTTAGAACTGCTACAATCAGGAGTTATTATTTGATTGACCCAATGTCTTTGTTGGCAGGTCAGTGTATTTCCTAGATGCCCTCTAAATGGTGCTTATGAAATACAGAGCTTCTGCCTTGGGCATACAGAGTGCGCTTCTTACATACCCTGAGCTTTTGCTAAATTATCATGTTACTTCAGTCCAGCGATTATATGCTTGCCTATTTTAATTAAGATCAGGAAAGTGATAGTCTTTGTGTAGTGTAAAAATGTAGTGTAAAAAAAGAAAATATTTCCTCTCAAAGTCGTAGATTATATGCTTAATACAAATCTTGAGAGAGATTGTCACTTCTTTCTTAATAATATTGTTTTCATCATTTTTTACCTTTCAAAAAGATAAAAATGTTGTCTTCAGTAGAATAGGGACGTTTTTGTCTGGCATTTCATTGGTCATGATGGGAATTTACAAAAAATGACATCTCTACTCTAGAATTACATTGTGCTTTTTATGCCATAGTTTATCATATGTAACACTTTATGAGGTGATGAGGATCACATGGGCAATGGTTATTACATTTTTTAAGTTATGGTCTTATGGATGCTCTAAAAAATTCCAATTAGGCTTCTGCCTCTCTTTGGAAATTGCATGATGAAGTTGATTATTGTGCTTTAAAAGAAAGGGCCATTGGAGCAAAACATAGCAGGAAAACTAAGCGTTGTGTTAAAATTTCAGAGTTATATTAATCAGTTGATGTTGATACACAATTATGTTCCTATTGGCAGCTTTGTATCATGCATCACCTTCATTTGCTCTTCAGATAGCAATAAGGCCTTTCTTATATCTGGAAGTGGTGATTCAACTGTGGGTATATCTCAAACTTAAGTTGTGGTTTTCCATGTTGGAATAATCTAACCATACAAGGAATGGACGTAAATTTTCTAATTTTCTTTGCAGGTTCGCCTCTGGGATCCCATTTCCGGAAACCTTCTCGACACCTGTGAAATTGGCTTAAAGGTAATACTTCCCTTTCTGCATCACCAATGAAAAGGATAAAGAAAGAACTCTCTCTACATCCCTGGTGTAATTTTTCCATAGAAGTTCTGTATACAAAGCTTTGTATTCTGAAGGTGGGGCGAGTGGGTTCTAGTGGAGATGAGGAGGCTTGTCATCCTGCAGTAACAGATTTATGTGCATCACCAGATGGTTCATTGGTTGCAGTTGGAGTGCAAAGGCAAGTGCTTTAATTGTTTCCTTGTGCAAATTGTGAAAAAGAACCTGTGTTTCTCAAATTAAGCCTCTCAATTGCCTCAATAATGTTGTTTAGAATTTCAGACCGAGTGGACAAGCTGGTCCCAATTCAAACTGCTATGTCTGGTCAGAGTTTACCTAATGGGGTCAAGGCTAGTCAGGCCTCTTGTTCAGACCTGTTTCTAACTCATCTTAGGAAATGAATCCTAAATATTTTTTAGGTTTTTTGTACTTAAGAAAATATCTATGCTCCTGAGTTTACAGAAGCATTAATCTAAGACTACATTGTGCCCTACAAGAAAATTGAGGGGGCAAACCAAGCAGTCTATCACCTCTGAATGGCCCTTTAAGTTTGTTATATGAATAGAAAACAAAACCCACACCCCAACCAATCTTTCAATGCTTGGACTGAACCTTTGCTTGGTTAATAGAGCATAAATAAGGTCGACAGTGAATTATCCAGATTCCAAAAATAAATGAATGGGGGAAGATTCTTTCTGATTTATTCAGTTATTGTTGCTTGGGCATAGCAATCTTAACCATTCTTCCAATTCTTATTGCATATTACATACTATAGATGGAGCTATGATACTTATTTTAGATGGAATTATAATTATGTTATCTTGAGTTTCTCATCCTCGTTTGATACTGTCTTTTTTTAATGTAGTTTGCGTGGAGTGATGCTTTTGAGCTGTGACCATCACAAAGAATATCTCCTGGTCATCAAGGTGAGGGTTCTTAAACCCAACAAAGGGTGTGCGCGTGCATGTGCTCCTAAACCTAAGGGCCTGTTTGGGTAATGGATTTTTTTTAAGGCATGGATTCCTAATATCTTGGATATTGTCAAAATCCACCGTTTGGATTGTTTAATGATTAGGATGCTTAAAATCAGAAATATAAAAAACATGAAAATAAGACCTATATTCCCATGATTCATTTTCACACCAAAACCTGTTTTTTTGCATTTCTAAAGCCCATGGATTTCACTCAATGGCTCCCTCGACCCGAAACATAGGCAACATTTGGTAGGTATGAAAATTTTAGAAAGAGAAAGTACCTAAATTTTTTAAAGAGAAAACTATCTCAAAAGTTTTATAAAGAAAAACTATCTCAAATTTCAACTTTTAGAGAACGTATGATAAAATTTTAGAAAGATAACATATTAAAATTTTAGAGTACCAAAATTTTTTAGAGAGATGAACTATCTCAAAATTTTAGAGAGAGAAACTATCTCAAATTTTAACTTTAAGAAAGAGAAAGTATGTTAAAATTTTAGAGAGAGAAAGTACAAATTTTTTAGAGATAAACTCTCTCAAAATTTTAAAGAGGGAAACTATCATATTTTAGAGAAAGAAAGTACATGCAAATTTTTTGGAGAGAAACTATCTCAATTTTTTAGAGAAAGAAACTATTTCAAAAATTTTAGAGAGAGAAACAATATCAAATTTTAGAGAGTACCTAAAAA